ACTTTCAGAGGAAAAAAACCTGATACTTACACCAAATCAAACATGTTATTTAGTAACTTTATTGTTCTTCAGATACTTACCAGAATAAAATCAGTGTTTTCACATGCAAGATGGGTCAGGAGGCAATCTTCAGGAAGACTACCTGTTGGAAGAGGAATTTGAGTTCCTGGATGGGACACCATAACAAACCTTGCCAAGAGTTGTATTCCTAAATTGGTATTTTACCACATTCAGTCTGTGAGCGAGCAGTGCTCTGTAGCACATTGCTGTTGTACTTTGTTTCACTCACGCATACTCTGAAGCTTGGATGGGATTCAGCCTGTAGAAATCTAATGACTGGTGTTGCTTTCCTTTTGTTTGCTTGTTTGTGGGGTGGTTTTTTTGTTGAGGAGTTGGCTTTTTTTTTTAGGCTTTTTTAAGAGGTTTGGTGTAGGGTTTAAATAAAATAATTATTCTGCTTCGTCTTTTGAAGGCTGCTGCTGTAAGCTGTGGATAGAAGTACAGGAGAATGGCTTATAATTGATTTCAAATGGATCAACAGCCAGAACATAATGCCTTTTGGGGTATCTTTCAACTAAACAGTCTTATCAGCAGTGCCTGATATTAGTCACAAAGTGCAGTTCAGTCATGGGAACTGCAAGCGAAATTTAAGTCACGCTCTGCCGTGCAGGAGAGGGAGGGGCATTGTGGTTGTGTGCTGGATGGAGCTCATGTTGGCTTCTCTTTGCAGCGATCCTCAAGGCTGTGATGTGGGTAGGTCACTTCATCTATCGCTTGCCTGTCTTTTCTAGCTGTAAAAGTGAGTTCATGTGATGATTACTACAAAATCAAGTTCATTTTGGCTTTGGGTCAAAGGGATTGTAAAAAGGGTGTGTGGAGGGATGTCTGAATCTCTGGTGCCTTTTTCGGCTGTGTGTCCTCCTCCCATTGCATGTCCTCTGTAAGAGGTGGGTGTTTGCACTCTGAGTTTGAGGCATTACCAGCTGGAACTCAAATATAATTCAATTATTTAGCTGTCTTTGTTCCCTGGAGTAACTGTATTACAGGGCAGTCTGTTAATGATACCTCATTACCTTTGCTACTCTCAATTTGGTTAGAGAGCAGAGAAGATGCTGATGAGGTGAAGAAAGTATGGGTCCATGGGTTTGCTGCATAAAACCATGGGCTGAGTGAAATGCGCATCCTCTTCCATTGTTGAGCCTAGTGATACAGTTCAGCGTTGTAACAGCTCGCTTGCAGCTTGTTAGAGCATCAAAGTAACTGATTGAGAAAGCTCCTAGAAGCCCCTAGTGAAAACTAGTGCTTTAGAAACAGGGAACCCATGGGAAAATAAAAATCTTGAGGAGAGATATGAGAGCAAGCATGATTACATTGAGCTGTGAGAAAGCAGAAATTCAAAAAAGAGTAGTTAGGAAATGTTTATCTAATTCATGATAATTGTGTACTAGGAATCGTAGTTTTAAGTATCACAGCTTTTGAGACAGGGTGTTAGGGGGAGCTCCGATTTAGAAGTTCAGGCTGATGCATTCTTTAAATGGGTCTTTAATCTTGGAGTATAGATACGGATTTAAAATAGTGCTTTCACTGGTGTAGTTGCACTAATGATAGAAGTATAGTTTTAATAATGAAAGAACCATGTAACATAGGTGAAATTGCTCTTCCTCCCTGCAGTCATGAGCCATGAGAGAGTGCTACCTATCAAAAAGCACTCTCAAATTCGGATAATACAATCCAGTCTGTTATAGTAGCTCCTTAGGAAAATCCTAGAACATACTGTGTGTTCATTTCTGACTTCAAAGATATAGGGGGCTTATTTATGAGAGTTTTCTTGGGGTGTTTTTGGGCTACAAATCCTGCACTGGAAGCAGGGATATGGTACTTTCTTGTTACTTGAATAAAGCTTTTGTATCTCTGGGATTATGAATTGCTAATTTTTTTTCTTCTCCCCTGCTTTTTAACAGGAACAGGAAGGTGGTCGATTATTCCCAGTTTCAGGAATCAGATGATGCTGGTAAATGACTTATTTCTTAACAATATAATTCTTGGGCTAGAGCATTTCATTTATTGCTTTGCATATTAATTGTTTTGCTTCTGGCCACATCTTTAACTTAGATTCTAAGTAGTTTCTGTTCTTCACAGTCTCTGAACTGTTACTAAGTATTTGAAAATATAATTATTTTCATATGTTTTGCATTAAACAAACAATGGTGATAGAAATCTTATTATTTAATGCTTGTATTGTTGTAGTGCCTTGAGGCTGTTGGCAGCAACTGTCTTCTTCCTTGGTCAATGTTATGCTCTGTGGCAGAATCTCCCTGATGCCACTTTTTTCTACAGTAAAATATGCTTTCAATTTATTTCCGTGGACTCTAGTTAATCCCATAATGTCAGGCATTTTTGTGAATTGCATCTAAAAAATAATCTTTGTTCTGTACATTATTAACAAAATATTTCTGGAAGCCATATAGAACATGTTTTGTGTTCTTAGAAAATAGAGATACTGCTACTGTTAGTTAAGTGAGGTTGCACTGATAATTAGTGGAAACAAATATCCATAGCTCTTAGTTGCAGTCCTATTACTTGTATTGTGTAATGTTTGTAAAACTGTAAACTACTATATAATGGCATACTTTTTCCTACCATATGTAGGACAGTAAATAAAGTGTTTGCTGTTAAAAGCATGTAGAAATATGTATGGATGTTAACTTTTAATAGGCTTACATAATAACTCTGTTTCTGATTAGCTCTAAAATGAGATACTGTGTCCTCTTGAGGTTTTTTTTTTTACTTAATGCTCCCTGTATCAGACTTGATTGTATGCCAGATTTCTATTGTGCTGTTGGCAGAAGAAAAGGTAAATCACTAGTTTAAGACAGGACTTTGCTTCTATAAAGTTTTGTTTGAAGCTTTGTGATTTTTCTTTTTTTGAAGGGCTTCTTTTTGATGTGCATGAAATGGTCAGTTTAAGTTGTAGCTGAGGAAGTCAGTTTGCTGGGAACTAGGAGTTTGATTCAAAACCATTTTGTACTGTCCCGTCCAGATGAAGATTACGGAAGAGATTCAGGTCCCCCATCCAAGAAAATCCGTTCGTCTCCCCGGGAGGCTAAAAATAAGAGGCGATCTGGGAAGAATTCTCAGGAGGACAGGTAAAAGAAGCGCTTCATCTGTTACGAACATGTCTCCAAACCTTGTCCTGTATGTGGGGAGCAGCATCTTCTAAGTGGAATTCAAGGCCTGCAGTGTAAGATACAGAGCTCTCAATCGCAATGCTTGCATAACCAGCTTGGACATTGAGGTGGTTCTTTCTTATCCGAGTAGGCAGATAAATCATGTGTAAAGTACTTGTCACTAGTACTTCGTTATTAAATAGCTTTGCAGAGCTAGACGGTTGGAATGGGAAGGAATATGATCCAAGTTACAAAAATTGGCAGCTAGTACAATTATCCAGGTAAGTTAGTGGCAAGATGCGTTTAATTTTCCGTCGTCTTTTTGGTATCCTCAGAGCATTCCTGTGGTTAAAGATTAAATGGGATGGTACAGTAGTGGAGTAGGGGCTATTTGTTAGTTTAGTGATTCTTTGTTTCTCATTTGTAGTTTTGTCTAATTCTATGTTTTGTCTAATTTAAAAACGAAGTAACTTGTTTTGGTAACGGAGTTGCTCCAGCAGTGTGAAAGGACTGGTTTCTAAGTTATGCCTTACTGAGTAATGAACATCTTTCCTGCAGAGTGAGGGAATCTTCCTTTTTTTACAATAATTATGGTCAGCAAATGACTGCCATAAGACCCATTAAGTCAATTGACTGCAGACATCAACCTCAGGGATGGAGGTTCTGCTAGCTGGTTCTTATTCTGTAAGCCTAAGGTTTCTCTTTATCCTGTTGCACTGTTTGCTGGAATCCAGGTAACCTGCCAACAGGCATGCTTAACAGGCTTCCCTGTCCTGCCCCTGTTCTATAAGCTGGATGTAGGCATGGGAATATTTGTGTGGTCCACCTGCTGTTGTGAACTGAGAGGGGGAGAATATTTTCAACCTGGCAAATGCCTGTAACACACCTGAAATCGAAGATTTAATGGGTATGACATATAAAGAAATTGGGCTAGGCAGCTCCCAAAGCAACTAAATAGTTGACCTTGATGTCCTGTTAGCTTTGGGGATTTCTAAGTATGTAACAACATTTTTATGTTCATCACAAACATTGCCGAGGGCTTGCATGTGAAACAAGCTCATGTATTTAAGCGATTGAAATCCACAGTTATCTGTATAAGACTGAAAACATATGGGCCTGAAGGGCTGTAATGTGACAAGTTATTTAAACTATTAGAGTTCTTGAGAAATGTTGTGTGTTGCCTCCAACTGTCAAATTTGAAAGTAGCAAAGGTTTGGTGTATTGTATTTCTTAACTTTGGCAAACTCTGCAGCGCAGCCATTCCTGAAGCATATCTTGTATGTCAGTGGGCCTCAACAGAGTATTCACCAGTCCTGTTTAAAACGCTTGTTTACTCTCTGGTGAGAGTGTGTTCTTACATGCCAGAAGGAAAACCCTCTCTGGACAGTGATAATGACTAATGATGGGGATTTGGATAAGAACAGAACATTAGTACCTGCTTGACAGGGGTACCCTCTGATGAGGATTGAAACAAATAGAAAAGAGTTGTTGAAACTCCACCAGATCATTTGAGAGATCATAGACCAAATATACAGCAATGTACAGAGAATGAAGGAGTCCAGAGAAACAATGATAAAAAGACAAGTGATGACTATAAATCTATTCAGGATAAAACTTTATTCCATTTATAGACTCAGCCATGCATTAGAATATAGAACTTCAAAATTCTAACAATAAAATGGAAGACATCTGTATGATTTGGTTTCAGAGTGAAGTGCATGGTTCATCTTAACCTTATTATTTCCTGTGTGGTTCATTTGACTCCATGTAAGTTTGTATGTGATCCAGAGTTTGAACATTATCTTTCCAGCCATGATAACTACATATGCAGCTGAGTAATCCTGAAGTATAAAGTGGTAATGTCCAGAAAAAGTGCAAACCTAAAGATCAGTTTGCTCTCTGAAAATTGATATTTTCCGCACAGCAGTGACGTAAATAAAACAGCAGTCAAACCCTGTCTCTCTCATTTTCAGTGAGGATTCAGAAGACAAAGATGTGAAGACTAAGAAAGACGATTCACAGTCTGCAGGTAACTACCTACATTGGGTTGATGGTATATCTTCAAAACAAAGACCAGCTGTAAGAGTTACAGGAGTAGGATTTGACACAGGAAAGAAGCTGTTCTGACTAGAGGAGCATGCACTTTTCTAATAAGCTTATCTTAAGCTGGGTCATGCCTCTGCTGCTGTTACTTCTGGCCCTGGTTTGGGATAATTTTATTTTGTGTGTGTAATATTATGCTGCCCAAAATTTGTCCAGGTAAATAGGTGTATGTTACTCTCTTCCCTGTAGTTCTTGTCCATATTTCAGAACGATGCAAGAAACTAAATGTTCGTACCTTTTCCTTCCAGATGAAGATTTTGGCAGTGAAGATGATGACTTAGGAGCAGATGATGGCAAAGCTGACAGTGACTATGAGAGCTCTCAAAAAAGCAAAAAAGGAAAGAAGGCTAAACCAGATAAAAACAAGAGAGCAGCCTCCAAATCCAGGAAAAGGCCTGCAGGTAAAAAAAAGTTTTTTAGTCTTTGCAGTGAAAAATACTAGACAGGATTGTTGTCGAGTGACTACAGAAACATGCTTATTAAGTTGAATGTGACTGTGTTCTCCTCACAGCTCAGTTCTTCAGCGAGCATCTAGATTAACTTTCTCATGAATGACTTTACTCTTGCCCACATGTTACCTCAAGACAGTTAGGTGGTCTGTATTCTGTATCTTCATTATAACTTGGTGACTTCTGCTGCAGAGGACAGTGAGGACGAGAAAGAAGATCACAAAAATGTGCGTCAGCAACGACAGGCAGCATCCAAAGCAGCTTCTAAACAACGAGAGATGCTTATGGATGATGTGGGTAGTGAGGAGGAAGAACAAGAGGATGATGAGGCACAATTCCAGGAGAGTGAGTAAATGGGGTTGTAAAAACTTAAAATCAATGTGACATGGGTGTAGTACCAGACGTGAGTTTATGGGTCTGGCCAGACAGCAAAAGGAACACAGTTTGCTTTTTGACTGTGACAGTGAAGACTGAAGTTGTCCTTCTCAGTAACTTATTTATTCTGGCATACCTATCCAACAGACCAAGCTTACATTTTTCATATCTAGCGTTTTCTTTTGAAGTTTGCAGCAAAGATGTATGTATGTCTTTACGATAACCCTTTAGGGCTGCTCATAAAGTTTGTAATGCTTTTTGCTGCTTCTTGCTATCCTGTTGGTTTTGAGGCATTGGTCCTACTTTCAGGTGATGTAAAGTACTTTATCCTTGATTAATTGAAGTGGGACAGTTAGTTTCATAAGAAGAGATGGGTTCAGCTGGTAATGAACCACAGTGAGTTCCTGAAACACTGAGTGCAAACATGATTTCAGGTGGCAGATCTCTTAACTGTATATTCTGCCCCCTTTCGTTTTTTTCCAAAAACTGAAATTTCTTTCTGCTTTCAGCAGATTCAGGAAGCGACGAAGACTTCCTTGTGGAAGATGATGATGATAGTGACTATGGCAGTTCAAAAAAGAAAAACAAAAAGGTCTCCAAGAAATCTAAGCCAGAGAGGAAAGAAAAGAAAATGCCGAAGCCCAGGCTAAAGGCTACAGGTGACTCTATTCAAGGAAAGTTAGGCAGTTTGCTTTAGAGGCTAGTGTTGTCTTTTTCTGTTACAGAAGACTCAGTGGAAATCTTGGAGTTAGTAGGGATTCACATATAATGTTTAACAGCTAATTCATACAGCTTGCCATGATTCAAAGCAGCACTATGAAATAATAAGGTGGCTTTAATTCTTAATTAAAATATGGAATTAGTATGTATGTCTCATTGGCAAAAGTTGTGTAGATTGCAAAACCTTCCCTGTCGAGGTGCTGTAATCTGACATTCTATTTGTCATAGACAATAATATAATTTCTAGCTTTGTTTGGGAGTCACAGACTTTGATGTTTTCAGGGTGGAGGAAGGTGGAGAAATCTGAATCAAAGGAAAATTTGATATGTTTCTGGAGGAAGTCTAAAATCACAACAGCAATGTATATATGGGTTTGACAAGAGGCTAGCTATGGTAGTTCACTGTGTCATATCCAGTAATCAGGCAGGACTTGCAATTAAATAGTTTAAAGTCTTGTTAGCAAACTTTTCAGTTCAGCTTTACTATTATGGAGTGCAAAAAACACCATGTGTGTGATATGGTCAAAGCAAAATGAAATCTGCTACTGAACTATCTTGTGAATCTGTTTAAAACCGTGACTATTTTGTCTTTGTTGCTAATAATAACTTTTATAACCTTTTTCTTTTTTCAGTGACCCCCAGTCCAGTGAAAGGCAAAGGGAAGGCAGGCCGCCCCACAGCTTCTAAGGCAACAAAAGAAAAGACCCCATCCCCCAAAGAAGAGGATGAAGAGCCTGAAAGTCCCCCAGAAAAGAAAAAGTCAGCCAGCCCTCCACCAGAGAAGTCAGGGGATGAGGGATCTGAAGATGAAGCACCCTCTGGTGAAGATTAAATGGCAGTTGAGGAAATCTTTGTTTAAAAAAAAAAAGAAAAAAAAAGAAAAAGGAAAAGAAAACATACTTAGGGGTAGAACACGGTTTTGGCTGTGGCTTGACTCATGGGCTTTGAATGCTGTCTTTACTTTCAGCTGTTTAATACAGTGTATCCTTTTTTTAATAAGAGGAAACCCTTATACAGTGATATTTTGAAGTCAATGTTCTCTGTTGGCCATTCCGTTTTCCCTCCCCCGCCAAATCCGAAAGCCATTTGAGACAAATTAACAGATCATTTAAATATATATTTTTTTCAAGGGATACTGCAGTTGTGAAGCAATAAGGTTTGAGACTGATACGTGGAAACCATACTTATAAATCGTTAAGTAGAGTAGATTTTCCCAGTGCTGGTTAAGAGTTCTTCAAAACTATTATTCTGTATTTGAATATGTGGAAGAAATGAACTTATGCTTTAACAGACTTGTTGATACAAGTTCACTCAAGAAAAAAAAAGTAGTTGATAAGAATTCCAATTGAGGAAGAGGAAACATGGGGAGAAAACCCGTGTTTCTTGGATTCAGGCACGTTTTTTGTGGAAAGCAATCAAGAGACTTGTAGATGGTCCACTGCCTTTTATTTAGAGAAGACCCTCCAATTAGGTTCCAAGATCTTTTGTCTTTGCTGGATAGAATACTATTCTGCTCTAGGCAAATTGCAGTTCATTCTATACGAATTCAGATGTACAACCTACAAGCTTCTCATCCATTAACTCTTATTTTATTTTTTCCAAGGTTGGCTATAGATGGGCAATGTAGGGAAGAGAAATTGAAAACAGTTTTTAAAACTCTGGTTTCCATTTGGTATTGTGGAAAATGTCTTTAAAGTTTTCCCAGGGGAAAAAAAAAAAATTGAGTAGTATAAAATTAAATTCTTTAGCTTTTGGGCTGAGGGATGTCCTTTTATAAATGTGAAGCAAAGGATTCCTGTAATGCTCTGGTCAGTCTCGGATCCCATGAGTCACGCTTAATTGTTTCTCTTCTCTCCCTCCATCTGTCCTCAGAAAGGCTCTGTAGTCATACCTCTCAGCCTCTCCAGCTACGGTGCTGGACAGCAGACTTCCATCGATAGCGCACATCATCACAATACCACTTCCATTTCTTCATCCTTCCATCCTGCAGTGTGGGAGGCTTTGCTCCCACATCAACATGTCTGCTTCTAACTGTTGGTCATCATTCTGCTCCCTAAGCTGAAGAAGTGCTGATAGGGAACAGTATTAAAGGATGAAGCTGGGAGGAAGTGGAGTTTGGAAGCAGTGTAGCAGGGCTATCATTTTATTATAAAACCAGGATGTCCCTCTAAATGCAAGACACTTGAGATATGTGTGGTGGCATTTTAATGTGTTTTTATCTGAGCAGCCATATCCTTTTTTTAAACTTTAATTAGAATACACAAGCCTTGGTTTTCAAACCCTAATACAGAGGTTGCTGCCATGTTTGTTGGTGGAAATATTGAAAACTGGACCTGCCATTTTTCTCTATTTTTTTCTTAAACCCTTTGTGCTTTCTGTATGTTGCTCACAGTTATCTTATACCTGACAAGCTTTGCATCTTTTTTTTTTTTTTGTCACAGAACTACACGTTTTGTAACCGGCCTCTTGAAGGTAACATAAGGCAGCTAATTAGTTGGATTTCTGAAGCACATACTACCAGATTTTTAATCCTGTTTGGATATTAGAGAGCTTTTAGATGTGATACACTAATATGACCAGGAAGGACACTTGGCTGAATGGTGTAGGGAGCCTGAAGATGCTGAGCACAGTGTGGAGCCTAATGTGAAATGGAATATTCATATAACAGCCGAGTGATTGTCTTGTGTGATTCATAGCCATGGATTTTATTGAGGCTGGTAAATTACTTTACCTTGGCTTATAAAAATTTAAGTTCTCTAACATTCTTTACTATAATGATACTACTGTTGCCGTTATAATAAAGATGATCGGTGTTTCCATTGTAAATCATTTTTTTTTTTAAAGTGGTTTAATTTTGCAGAACAGCTTAAGGCTGGAAAGAAGTATCAGTCCTGAAAAAGAAGCGAATGTAACCCCCTCTCCTCTCCTGTATCTCTTCCCACCTTCCAGGTCTCTGGGAGAGCAGAGTCTCTTCATTCCCTCCACTCCTAGTCCAGTGCTTCTTGGGTAATATGGGAAAATAAATGGCCAGATTCTAAAAAACCACTTGGATTAAATTTTGGGATAGCATACACTTTTCTGACTGTCTGTTCCACATAGTTCTTTGCCTTCAGTCCAGAGCATGTTTTGAGTTGTTCTTCTCTATTGGGTTCTTAAGGGGTTTTTTTGGTTTTAAAATGTACGAGGATTACTTAAATACCTCTAGCTGATCTGGCCAAAAGGCTGTTTCTTTACCTGCTAGACCAGATTTTTTTCTGAAAAGTGTATTTTGTAAGTTCCACTTAAATTATTATTTTTGGGTTTTTTTCTAACACGGTTAACTAAAGTTAAGGTTGTGAAAAATGTTTCTGTTGTTCTCAGTTCATGTTTTGGACTGGATTATTTTCTGCCTAGCAACTTTGGCCCTTTATCTTACAAAACTGTTCTGCTTTCTCATATGTTCATCTCTAATGGCTGTTACAGGCTGCATGATGCTTATCTCTGAGTTTGTCACAACGCAAACACTATGTAAATCCTGTACTGCTTCTGGGATTTTGTAACTTTTCCATATCTTACTGTTCTGCTCATTTGTGCAAACACTAAGCCCTAGCGGTCTCCTGGTTACTCTGTCAGAAATGTATCAGTTTACACTTTTGCAGATAGAAGAAAATTGTGGTGGTTAATACAGATTTTTTTTTTTTAGTACACAACATTTTTCAGTAGCGACAGATAACATTTTTAAATGTCCTTTAATGAATATGTACTAAGCATTCTGATTTCTTGAAGGAAAGCTGTAAAAATGCCTTTCTTTAGGAGTCTGAATAGTTCTTCATGGAGCAGAAAGTTTCATTCACAGAAGAAGGCTTTGAAAAGATTGTCTTCTGTTACACAGCTGTAGTTTTGGAGCCTTTGCAGAGAGGTAAATGGATTTATTCCACAATTCAGTTAATCTAGTGCCCTGCCCTGGTCTTAAAACAGTAGTTCATAACTAACTTCTATTATATGTCCTCTTGTGCATTCTGTTTCTGAATCCACACCACCACCTTCACTTTCACAGTTATATGCCAATAGTACTGCCTTTAACTGGCAGCAAGGCTTGATCAGTAAAAATTTGCAACTTCAGTTGGAATTTTATACTAAAGATTATTTGCTTTAGTTCCTATTTGGTCAGCATGAAAATGCCAAACATGTCAAGCTAAATGGGTTTCAGAATGGATTGTGGGTGAGAGCAAGACTTAGAAATGAGGAAGCCAAGAAGCTTTTAATTTTGTTGGTTTAACTTCATCAAAGCAGAAGAGACTGGGGAGAGAAGCAGCACACCTTGGGTGACTTCTGCTAGGGAACCGCTCCGATGCCAGGTAACGGTTCTGAGCGTGCTCAGCTTCTGTGCCAGCACACAGCTGCATCTGCAGGTGATGGACTACCAGGGCAGTGGCAGAAGATGCTCTTGAATTCCTTTTTATTCTTTTTTCTTTTTTTTTTTCCCCCTCCACTGGTGATGGTCACAAAGGTACAATAGACACTGAGGCATCCAGGTAAAGGAGGGTGGGAAGTAAACTGTAACATGCTGGAAGCTTTTGAGCTGTAGAAACTGGTGCTTTGCTTTATGTAATTTGTTTGTGAAGTGTTTATTTTTATAACAGATCATATTGTTGAACACATGGTTCTTAAAAACTACAAACTGATCCATGAGTTTAATATTAGAGAAGTGGATGTTCATCTGTTGGGGGAGGCAGGATATGAAAACATAAGCAGATGGATATTTAAAGGGACACTGTCACAAAGTAGTTGCGGGCATATAGGATATGTTAGTTTTGGGGGGGGTGACATCTATATGTGGAAATTATATATTCTGTATGTATGTGATCAAGTTGAAAATTTTCCTTGAACTTTGAATGTTTTCCTACAGTTTTGGGTGGTTTAAATACAAGTTATGCTAATGAAACCAGGAAGCAAAACTAGCTATTCTATCCTTACTGTCCAAGATGACTTTTTTTAAAGTACTATGAGGAATGTCAGAGCTCTGAAAGATGACAGTGTCCTTTCGAGACCTCCTCAAATCAAGTGTATCCTCATTTTAGACTTCCCACTTCAGTAGATGACTGGCATTTGAATGTCTTTTCATTGATCTCTTTATATTAAAAACAAAACACAGATATTTCTAAATCTAGTCAAGTTCTCACCATGTGCTGACTGTCAACCACTATTGAAAATGAATCTCTAGACTGCCTGCCCCCTTCAGCCGCGGTGCATCGAGTGGGTCCATCGGTCCGAGCATGCTCAGTGTGACTGCAAAACACCATTGTGCATATGCTTTGTATATTGGGGCAAGGGTTTTTTATATATATATTTTGGGAGGGGTAGTGGGTGGGATGGAGAAATACTCAATCAGCTTAAGCCAGAATAATGTGTGTAAAAGCCCCTGAAGTATTTTGTGTGTGAGTGCGCGGGTGTGAGTGCGCGCATGGGAGTGTCTGACATCTTATTCCCTTTGTGTTCTGAAGATTTGTGAGTTTTACTTTTTTTTTCTTCCGCAGAAGCAATTGTTACAAAAAATTGTAAATAAGAGCTACATAATTTTTGTTTAACCATGAACATCATGTCACAGCAAACCCTGAATAGTCACTTTGAAGGTAGAGGAGGAGACTCCAGGTAGGGCCTTGGGCCTTTGGCTATCAGCAAGGCATCGTTCTGTGGTATGCAATGAATATTTGTCTTGAGTATTTGCAATCCCCTGTTGAGCTTTTCTAAAAATCAGGCTCTTTGCAGTTCCCCTCCCCATCCCTTTTAATTTTTTTTTTTTTTTCTTTAAATCTTGAGAGCAGACAGAAAATGGGGCAGCTGCAAACAGTGTTCCAGTGCTGCTGGGCCACGGTCAGCGTGTGTGTGCAGACGTGGCTGTCATCACTGGGCACGATAGGGTTGGTGACTCTCGCAATACCTTGACAATACTGAGATCTACCGCATGGTACTAGAGTTAAGTCTGAATGTAACATTAACGCTTTATTTAAAGTAAAAACAACACTTTTATTTTTTAAGGGGTTGAAGTGGACATGACTGTTGACCATGTTCGTGAATTTATAGATGCAACATTCATTGGTAGAATTGTGTGATGGTCTTTTGTGCTACTTAATTTTACATATTCCAGTCTCTGTATGTACCTGCAAAGAAAGAGGAAAAAAAAAAATAACAAAACCCTGCTTTGCTTTTATTGAAAGGGTTCCCAGGACTGCATACCTGCTCCTGAGCTCTGTTTTAAGTATGTGTATCTTTCGCTTGTATTTTGTAT